CGAAAACCGCTCGAGTGGAACAACACTTGTTTTGTTTTTTATCAGTGTATAACCTCTGTTTGCTTAACTGAGTAACTAGTTTCAAACATATGACACTACCTTCCCTCTTCAATTGGCCTTGTTTCCTAATTCAAATCTTGACATGTGAAACAAAAAGTCAAGCAAACTAAACCAGAATTTCTGACTCAGATTTTGTAATCACTGTTGTATATTTTGACCTTGTTATTGTGGTGCCACAGTATGAGTAAATCCCAGTCTTTGATTACAAATTCTGGGCACTGTTTTGGGTTTTTGAAACAACTACATATGATATTGAGAACTTCAACAAATATTGAGATCGATTGAAATTGAAATAGCTGGATTACATGCTATGATGTTGCAAGACATAGTTCACTATCATTTTGTTAGTGGTGAAGCCTCATAGAGCTCTTGCTTGATGTAATTTATTAAGTAATGGACATCTTTCATTACAACTATGGAATAGAGAGAATCATGATATATATATATATATATATATTAGTAGATGTACACACTCACATGAGTATACCTGAAATAAGCAGTATGGATATATAGCCTATTACAAATCATCTATGAATATTTACAGAATGAAATAGAAGAATTGTATAGATATATTAGGGGATATAAAGATCCATTTGGCATGGAGGAGAAAAAAAGGCCTCAAGACACCAATAGATGTGTTCCCTTTATATGTAGTATAGATGAATTTTGCAATGCAGTGATAAATTTTGATATGGATTGATAAAATTTTGATCACAGTGACAAAAAGTTTCATACTCGCCACCTATTTAATTTGAAAAAGTTTAAAGTTAAATTAACATTATTTTTTTATTTATATTTGTTAGCACTTGTTGACAACAAAAGATGAGGAAGCAAGAAAGAGAATGCTGAACAAATTGATGCCTAAAGGCATGAAAGCGAGATACCTTCTCTTCCCTATGCACCAAAATTTTCATTGGAGAATACTTGTCCTTGACATTGAAGAAGGTTCATGGAAATTCTACAATTCCATGAGACCAAGGGGAGCAATGCCTAAAGTTCCACACTTCAATGCCGCAAATGAAGTGGTAAGAATGTTTTCACTATCAAACTTGCCATTCATCCAATATATCAATCCTGATCCATGCTTAATTATACATCAAAAATTTATACAGTAATATATTTATCATTCTTTAAATCCATGGTTTCTCATTAATTGTTTCAACTGACTTTCTAATAGAACAATTATACAAATGTAGATGTTGTAGAGAGAGATTATTGACAAGTACATAAAGGATGAGAAGCCAACTCTCCTCAACCCTAATAAATTTCAACAAGAGACAGAGAGTGTCATTAACAGCCCACAACAAGAAGACACGTCATAAGTTTATCAATAACAAAACACTTTTATAAAAAAATAAAAAAATAAAAGCAACAAAACCTAATTATAATACTTTGATTTCAAAATATTTTTGTAGGCTTGATTGTGGAATCATTGTTTGCTATATCATGAGGCAATATGTTTCCAAAAACAACATAATGCCTACTTTTTCCAAGGAAGAATGCAATCAATTGAGAGCCGATATGTTAACTATCTTCATGACTGACCAACAAGCTGCTCAACAACAAATAGTTGATGAAAATATTGATGACTTGCCTCCGCAATAATCAACAGATCTGGAACATTGATGACTTCATGCATTTTGCTTGTTTGGTTGTTAAAGTGTTACCTGTATTTTGATGATTTTGGTTCTTATTTTGCTCTAATGAATATTACAATGCTTGGTTGTTACAATGTCAAAGTTATGGACAGTGCTTGGTTGTTACAATGTCAAATTTGCTTCAATGAAACATTAAGTCTTTTTTAGCCATATTGTTACCAGATCTAACTTTTGATATCAGTCTTGTTATGCAAATTTCATTCAAAATATTAATATGATTATTTGTGTCGAATTTAAAGGTTAATAACAGGTTTGGAGTCACTATACTGATAAATTTATTTTTTTATAGTGTTTTGTTTACACTGATAAATTTATCATTGTTTCAACAAATTTATCACTGTGAACACTGATAAATTTACCACTGTTCAAACAAAAAAACCAGCAACTGTCTCTCTCTCTCTCTCTCTCTCTCTCTCTCTCTCTCATATTCTTTTTTCCCAATTCAAGTAAACAAAACACTATAAAAAATAATAAAAAATTTACCTAAATTGAAAATTAAAACACAAACACTATTATATTGTCCAAATTGGAAATTAAAATACTATTGCAATTTGTAAATATTCCCAAGTTTGAGAATGAATGTAAGAACATGCCATCCTTGGTGATTTTTGAATAATCAAAACCATTTGATACTTCAGTTAAACAACTCAAACATCCAAAGCTTGCTTATGAGTGACCACAAAACAGTATGCAGACTGAGAACTTGTTGCTAAACCAAATAAACATGATAGTTGATCTAAAAAATTTTACTTTGCAAAGCAGTTAACAGCAGATATGCAATTATATATTCTAGAGATTTGATCTACAGCTTTGTATTGTGAAAATTTTTCCTGGGAAAATTAGATAACTCTAGACAAAAATTGCTTCCTATAAGTAAGTAATATACAAAGATCTACTCCTTTAAATGCTAAAAGACTTATGGGAAAAACCGTATTCAAACTTTGAATCTCAAATCTACTTTCATTTGGAATCTCATAAAAGACATCCACTAGATAAAATCACACAGAAACAACAAAAGATAAAAAAAAGATATATGTGTACATATATATATTCATTTTCTTTCTTGTCCTTTTATCAACTATCAACCCAATAGTAAATAAGGTACAGTGTGAAGAGGAAGAAACTGGAAAGAGGTCTAGCATATGTCATTGTAAATTCAGTGCACAAATTATTTGTGTTTCTAAGGGATGCATTATCTAACAAGCAAGGCTATATTCTTGTTTGAATTAATCAAGGCACAGAAAAACTAAAAACATGTATAACTAGTGACATCAGTTGATTTTTGTTGAGTTTAAGCCAGTGATAAATTTATCACTGTGAAAAAGAACATTTGCTTAGATATGATAATGATAAATTTATCAACCGCTGACATAAATGTAATAAACCGTCAACTCTTCCCATACAATCAGTAATAAATTTATCATTCTTGAAAATAACAAAATTCAGGAACCCCATTAATGCTTGATTGCTTCCTTCAAACAATGGTAAATTTATCATTCTTACAAAAAAATAATCCACCAACTTGTCCAAACGAACCAGTGATAAATTTATCACTGTATAAAACACCAAAAACAGCAACTACATTTAACCCAAATCAAATAATATAAATATGTGAAACTTAATCCTATAAAAATATCAGTAAAAAATATAATTTATGTTCAACAAATTCCTCAATCATTCAATGCAAGTACCAAAATGATACATCTTTCCAAAAAAACTCAATCATTCAATGCAAGTAACACCTCTCAACTCTCAACAAAGTAATTCAATTAAAATCAATACAACTAAAGCAAAGCTTCTTTACATGTCTTCCGATTATGAGTTCCCATCTTTCCACACCTACTGCACCTAATTCTCTTGATTTCGCCCTTAGAAGGTATTCTCTCTGTTCTTGGACGTCCAGCTGGTCTCTTACAAAGAGGAGGTAAAACAATGTCATCATCAACAATTACATTTGGCTTCCACATACTAGGAACTGGATAGATAGAATGGGAATAAGAATCACAATAACTACTAACACGATAGTAATTATCAAGAAAACAATTCAGATCTTTCTCACTCCTCTTTATAGCACAAAAACCATGTTTGCAAGGAAAAGAATCAATTTCCCACAATCGACAAGAACAAGAACGTTTCCCAATATCAACCATAACTGAATGATCCAATTGGATTTCATAAATGTCATCGCTACATTTCTTAACTATCCATGCTTTTGTATCATTAAGAGCTTCTTCCAACTTCTTCTCTGCAAAAGGACAAACAATATGATTCCACTTATTCCCAACTTCTCTCCTTCTTGAAAATTGCTCAATTAGTTTCACCCGTATAGCATCAACCAGACTAGTTGAAAGCAAATAGCGTTCATCCCTAACCCATGAATTAAAAGATGCCGCAACATTTGTGCACATTTCACCATACCTCTTGCCTTGAAAATAAGCGTTACACCAACACTCATTAGGCAAATCCTCAAGAAACTTCTCAACACTACGACCACAACGACCCTTAAATTCTTTAAATAGCTCATTAAACAACTCAATAGTAGGAGCATATGCACATCTACTAAAAAGAGTAAGCAAATACTCTTTAGATTCACGACTTTTCACTGACAAATAAGTCTTCAAGTTTGTCTTCAAATGCATTAGACAAAAAGAATGAGAAGAAAACGGAAAGACCTCAGCTAAAGCTTTCAGCAAACCTCCATGCTGATTAATAACAAACGCAATATCCCTTCCCGGAGTCAAAATAACAAATAACTTTGACAAGAACCAATGCCAACTATCATAACTTTCACTATCAACAATGACAAAACATAACGGATATAAACCTACAAACAAAATACATATACACGTTATCAATAACAAATAAAAAAAAATTACAAAAAGAAAATCAAAACACAAAGTATATAACATGTAGCACCAGCCATAGATAAATTTATCACTATATAAATATAAAAATTTAACAAAAGTATACAGCATAAATTTATCACTAATAGATTGATCATACTTAATAACCAACACTCTCCAGTAACAAAAATAATAGAATTATCACTGTTTTAATAATAATAACAAATAGACACAGAATATACCTTGGTTACCATCTTTTGTCGTAGCAGCCAATAAACAACCTTTGTGTCTTCTTTTCAAGAAAGTTCCATCAAGCATCAACACAGGCCGACAATACTTGAAACCATGAATACATGCCTCAAAAGCGAAAAACAAGCATTTGAAATGTCTTTCTTTACTATGAACATCAAATTCCATATCAAACACACTCCCCAAATTACAATCATTAACGGCATCAACATACCAATGAAGATCGTCAAATGATGATAAATAGTCACCAAAAACAAGACCCCTTCCTTTTTCAACACTCATCCAAGCTCGCCGATAAGAAACTTCTGTTCCATAATAGTCCTTGAAATCACAAACCACCTCACTAACCGATGTCAAAGCCTTATTACGAATATCACTTGAAATTAGCGCACCAATTATACTTAAAGTCATCCTAGCATGTTTAATTGTACGAAAAGAAGATCCATAAGTATGAACATCATCAAATTGTTTAATAACAAAATATTTACTATGATTTTCCACTCTAGCGTGCATGCCCCATAAACATCCAAAATCTGCCCTTCTCTTACAATGAACAGTGACACAATCCTTATCATTCTTAACAAAATCAAAATCAAAACCAGAATGAATAGAATACTTTGACAACACATCTCGAAATTCAACAATTCCTTGAGCAAACCTTTGTCCCACTCCTTTCATACAATTAATCCACCCATCGGAGAGCAAACGTTTCCATTGATTTGAATAAAATGAAGGCAAAAAATTAGTTTCACAAACAACACTACTACTACTACTACTACTAGCTTCACCATCACAAATCATATAACCTTCACCCAAAGAACAACACTTTACAAAAACATCAATACGATAAATATCACAAGAAAGTGCCAGTCCAACCATAACCTCCAAATCCTCTTCACTTTGTAAACCACAACAAGAATGTCCAGGCATTGAACATGATATATTCAAAGAACTACCAGCTAACTCACTCCACTTTGAACACAATTTATATACTAAATCCTTGAAATTAAATCCATCATTATACTTGCACATAAGAAACAAACAATTCTCCATCACTATAAATCCTGCAATAAACAACAATTATATTTCAGCAAACAACTCAAACACCCTAAAACAAAATCAAATACAGTGATAAAATTATCAACCAACTCAAACACATCCAAAAACCAACACTGATAACTTTAACAGTTAATACCACCAAACACCAAGAACAGTGAATAAGGCTTACACTTATTAGACATGGTAACTCGATTTGAATCTTACCATTACATTATGCAACCTTTTCATCTACTATTCTCATACTCACTTATGAATTTATCACTGTTGAAAAAGTTAATCCAACAACACCCCCAAAATACTTAGTGATAAAATTATCACTGTATAAAATAACAAACCAGCATCTGTGTTCAATCAAAACAATTTTGTAACCAAAAAAAACAAAAATCTAAAATTCTTTACATATACATGTCTCAAAGCTTTCAATATCAAGATCAAAACACAAATTCAATCGCAACAGAAACAACAAAGTAACAACAATATCACCACAAAATCAAAATCACCAACTCAAACTAAAAAGAACCAAACATTGAAATTGAAATCAAAATCAAACATACCAGTCGACCTAACTCCACAACATCGCAAATCAAAAAATGTAACTATACACCAAACGCGAAATCGCAAATAGGAAGATTCACCAAGCACGCAATCACAAATCGCAAATCACAAATCGCGAAGATACACTAAGCGTGAAATTAGAAATCACGAAGCTCCACAATAATACATTAGCAAATCGTGAAGTTCCACAGAAATCCAAATCACAAACCTATACTCACAACACAATATTTTGATGGAAAATCCAAACAGAAACACGCCAAAACAGAGGAGGGGTAAAACGGTACCAAAAAAAAGGCTCAGGACCTGTTGGTGCACAAGAGCAAAACTCAGGACTAAGAGGGGAATAAGTGTAAAAGGTAGGATCGGCAAGTAAAAAACCCTTTAAAAATTCCATTGGTCCAAATGTTCCTTACCCTCTCCTGAGCCTAGCCCTCCACCAAGCCCAGCACTGAAGCCTAATAACTCTTTAGTTAAAGCAATTCCTGATATCCTCCTCTCTTCAGTTTTGGATTTAGAAAGGGAAAGGGAAAAGGTGTGTGAACCAGACACTAAAACAAAACTGACTTTTTACGACACCACATCAACGGCATACAATAAATGCACGTTGTAGTTTCTCACTTTTACGACTTACTTTTTTTGCACGTCATAAATACTCTTCCAACCACGGTGTGTCTATTGCGTAGACCGTGGATGGTAATAGCGATGATTTTTTTACGGCTTGTAATGCATGCCGTAAATAATAATACTTTCTATGACATGCAGATGGCGTGTCGTTAATACATCAATTATAAATGACGCACATATGCTAGCTGTGAAAAGAAAATACTTTTCACGGCGTACACAACGCCCGCCGTTAAAAGTATTGCATTTTTTACGACGCACACATCGCCTGCTGTTAAAAGTATTGCCTTTTTACTACCCACAATGCATGTTGTGAGTTGTATGATAAAAAAAAAAACGCCAAAATAAAATTTGGGACACCAATCACCCAAAAAAATATATATTAAATTTTTTTTCCCCAGAATAACTATTTTGCTCAAATCAGAACGGAAATGGAAAGGGTTTCAATCTCTCTCTCTCTCTCTCTCACAATCGTTGCCACTAGTTCTCTGACCGGTGCTACCATTGTTGTTGATTCACTCACTTCTGTAAGTTACTCTCTCTCACCACCGTTGCTCTCTCTCTCTCTCTCTCTCAATTTCTAAACCCTAACTTTTAAGGATACTTGTTCTAATTATTCTTTCATTCTTTGATCATTAACAATTTAATAAGAAATGGAAAGGAAACATGATGGGTTAGAGAGAGAGAGTCTACCTTCTCTCTAGAAACTACCTCAGTTTCTAGGGTTTGTTCATTCAATATTTCGTTGATGATGGTTGATTACTCATCTGATCTACACAACTTAGATACGATAGGTGATGAACTAGTGATTGAAGGTACTACTACACCTAAGGGGAGTTCGCACATCTTGAAGGATAGTCTTTCGGATAGTGATTTGTTAATTTTGATGGACATCGCGAAGAGAAATGGGGGTAAGAAACATCGTTCTGCATCTGATATCGAGATGGGAAGGAGACTTAAGGCTTCGATTGGGGTTGAGTCTGAGATCCCTAGTCCAAGTTCTTTCGTTGATGCTATGGGTGGTCTCTGCTCTGAGATTTGAGAGATGAATGTTATTCAGCTCCACATTAAAACAACAGGTATTTACTTTTCTCTCAAGATTTTTCTAGAGTTATTATATAACATATATCATGGTATTGCGAAAAAGAGATGTCTAATGGTTTGATAAATTTGAGTGATTGATTAATGCAATAGACTCATAAGGATTTAGATTGATTAATTGTTTAACCCTTTTCTTTGGTTGCTTCAGATGGTTTTGTGGGTCTTGTTCGCTATTGGACATAGTTTATGGGTTTTGTTGACTTTGGTTGTGTATATATGTAGATGAATTGTGTTAATTTTTTGTTTGTACATTCTAGAATATATACCCCATTTTGAGGTATTATATTCAAGATATGATATTTTGTGGTGCTAATATTATTTTGGTAGTCTAGATTTTGGTCAAGCGTAGAGAATTGAAAGAATCTCACATTAGAAATTATAAAATTATTTGTATTTTCTCTGAATCTCAGGAAAGGTCAGTATGAGCTACCGAAAAAAAAAATTGTGTTTGCAAAGGAGAACAAGTTGAAAGGAGGAAAGTCTCAATCTCTAAATAGTTAAAAGAAAATTGTAAACTAGTGAAAAAATGAGTAGGCTTATCAAGTTGTGTTTAATTGGTGCTTGAAAAGGTGGATCTGTATATAAACCTTTATGACTTTTATTTAGCATCTTGGTACTACCAATGGAGGTTGGCAGATACAGTTGGGAAGAGGGAAAGTGAAGCTCTTTCTTCATTATTTATGTGTATGTGTGTTGGGAAAGTAAGGCTTATCAAATTGTGAATGTAACTTTTTCGTTTTTGTTTGTTTTTATTTTTAAACAGAATTTTTGTAGTTGGTGGTGCGTGTAACGCCCTCAAAATAACAACATTAAACCCATCAGATAAGACATGCATTTACATATAAACTAACCACATACTTTTATTCATTAGAGTTCCATTACATAAGTATTACATGTTAACATCAAAACAAAATGCCCTACGGGCTTACAGCTTTCCAAGTTAACACTTGGTTACAACAAAAGAGTACTAACTCGTTTACACATTAAGCCCTTGGCTTGAAGTTACATGTAATACATCAAAAGTAAAACAACTACACTATGTCCGCCTCTAGCCTCCCAAGCTATGTCCCGGATGCACCGCAAGGCGCGAATGGTGAAACTCTCGGAGTACTTCCTCACGGCAAGCCTTCGGTACAAACAAACGGTCTCGGTATCTCACACTCAGGTCGGGATACACCATCAAACCCTTCTCAACTTTCCCACTGGAGATCTTCTCTCGGAGGGATTCTACC